GTCAGATCCCAAAGTGAATAAAATGACGGATTCTTAGTGTAGACTGTTAAAATGTCACCTTATACCCTCAAGCAATGCTCGAATAAAAGGGAACAAATGTCAACAAATTAATGAATGAAAAATGAGGCAAAAGACACAATTACTGATTTCGAATATTATCTTTCCCTTTTATAAAAGTGTTCCTATTTGGGTTTTTTTATTCTAAAAACAGGGGATGCTTTCAAATGTACTTACCACCCTTATACAAGGACTCAGTGAAGCTCCTCAGAATTACTGCCATTTTAGCACCTGTGCAGCTAAAGTGAGGGCTACCAAACCTTTTAAATCTAGTGCCTTGTGAAAACAAACCCAAAGTTTGTTTTCTCTCTCTCACCTGAAAACAAAGCACCCATCCACTGATCTTATTTGGAGGACTAGGAGAAGAAACCTAGACTTAATACTCTCAGCCATTAACTATGTGAATTTATTATACAGATTTAAGTTCTCTAGGCCTCCGTTTCTCTCTAAAATAAGTACAATAGTAATGCAATTTAACACACATATACTATTGTGAATACAACTGAAAACATAGCCCTTGCTCTAAATTCTGGCATCTCTAAATTCTAGACTTTTATGGCTATGAGTTTTTACTTTTAGATTTATGAGAAATATAACTAGATAGTTCTAAACTCGATTTTAAGATACGATCTAAATTTTCGATCGTGTATCAGAACCACTTGGCATAGTATCCCTCACCAGGAAATGATGTAACGGCAGCCGATTCCATTTGCTGACCACCAAAAAATGTAAACAGTGTCGTTCTGCTGAACTCCATCAAAGTACTTTGTTCATTTTTATTTTGCCATCCCTGAGGCATAGCAATACTAGATGGAGCTTGTACGAAGTCATTACCACAGTGCTAAAGGCCACCATTAGAGGAAAAAATATTCCTTAAAAAAATTATTTAAAATAGTAACTATCTTCAAAGGTATTTCATATTCATTAAATAAGGTTTATCCCAACTATGGCCAGCTAACAAAACGCGAAAAGAACACAAGCTCGAGGCAAGCTTTTTTTCTTCCAAAACTTACCTCTTCACTCAAGAAACAGCCTGCATAATCTAATTGCTGCTAAATTTAAGGGAAAACAATATAAGCCAGATTTAAAGAAATGGAAACCACTATAAACAAACAAGATTCTTCTCCCATTAAACTTAACTGCTTCACTTCGTTTCTTCTTTCTGCTCTGCCATGGTAATAACTGTATTTTTCTTATAATTGCAAAGGAATTTTGTTGAATAAATTACCCTAGCAGAAACCACACTATCCCTTAGGCCTTTAAATAAAAGTTATGCCTGAGATAACTGTAGTTAATAAGCAGGAAGACAGGCCTTTGAATCCACGGGCAGACTGGAGACGTGTCCCTCAGCCCCATTCCCACCGCTTATCCCGTGTTCCAATGTTTTTGTGGGTTCAATCCGCGAGCTGACAGTTGAAATGAAAGGGACAACGAGATTTAAAAGGTAAAACATACCTGACCACAGTGCAGAAAGTCACAAGGGGTTTAATCACAACTCAGTTTTCATTATTTTACAATGAAGAAGCATGTGATCAAGGCTTCTTGTTACAAAAATTGTTATAGGCCTGGGAACCCAAGAAAAATCTGTAGAGTAGGACTGTATGCCCATTCAATAGAATTCCCTCTAACCAGAACAATTAATTTTGGACTATCCACATGGAAGCAACTCTGTTATATAGAAGGCTTATTTTATTGCGAAGTGAGGCTGCATGCGACCCACCACCATCGAACAGCATAAAAAGTCCACGGTGCTCGTGACTGTGAACGCACCGTGGTCAAACCCCAGAAAGGCTTCCCTACTATCTTTCTGATCAAACAGGCCCAAGCTCCAAAACCCTGAAGCCCCAAACAAAAAATAAAGTGATACACTGAAGAGAGGGTACAATGTTAGCTTCTGAGATTTTATTATTTTTAATACATACATTTCACAAACAGAAACCTTCAAACACCACACACAATTCCATAACCAAATGTTTCCGTTTTGTCAACATTCTTTTAACTATTTACACCATCTTCCCTCAACAAAAGTGCAATCCAAGACATCTTGACAAGAAATCTTTAGGACAAGAATATATTTTTGAGCTGGCTTTAACAATGCCCGTCCATTATGTTTTCTTTCAATCACCTGGAAAAATAACAAAGTCAACAGGACATAGAGATGAGCTGGGTTAGGTGGCAGCCTATTAAAGGAACCAAAACACTGAACGGGAGCGCTTTCTCCTGAAGTCCTCCCCAAACGTCCAAAATTGCTCAAGAGCTGCAACCAGGAGACCAAAGAGGAGAAGCCATGTGGAGGTCCTAACCCGGGGACAGGAGAACCGACTGTACAGGAGGCATTGGTCTTACAGGACAAAACAGAAAACTTCAGCAAATTAGTTTTCATGGTCTACTAAGTTATGCATCAGGCTGTTAGTTTTAGTATTTAAACACCTAATAATATTCTTTCCTGATGAGTTCATTTCCCCCCCCAAAAGATATGAAAATACTTTTTACTCTGAAAATAAACTTCTTTTGCAAAACCTGAAAATTAAAGACCAGGGAGAGCTCTGTCTTACTCAGAATGGAATAATTCACCCCACTGCCCAATTTCATGGCCAATGTCTATCTTTTAATCAAGCAGTTGATAAACTCGGTATTATCACTCGCTTCAGATGCAGCCAGAAGTGGAGAACTGAGCCAGCCTGAAGAGGAAACGATAAAGCCATCAGAAATGGTTTCTCACTGAACTGAAGCAGGTAAAATTTTATTTGTTCCAGGTACAGAACTCTTAAAAATAAATGATAAAAAAAAAAGTTAGAACAGATGAAAAATCACTTTGAAATTATTAGTCACTTATGAGTGGTTCATTTTATTGAACACTATTTATCAGAAAAACAGAAAATGGATCTCTTGGGTGACTAATACCTTTAATAACCAAACCACAACAAAACAGTCATCTTTTTTGACATACTCCAATTTCTACCAAGGTATTCAGAGCAAAGTACTTTGAGAAAGTCTGGTGAAAATACTAAGGTCAGCAGATTTCCAAAATAAGATTTATTATCCACACTGTGGCATACTCATATTTTATTCTCAAATAAGCCAGATTTTCTACTTTAGATGAGGCTATGATGCCTTACAGGTAAACGATACTCTCACAGATACCTATGGCCTCTCCTTTTTCAGAACTGCGGCATCCACAGAATCCTAACTTTGTGGTCCAAATAAAGGCCAAAAGCAAATTTTACCCAATTACAGGGAAAACTACTCCAACTTATTTTTCAGAGAGTAGAAACCAATAGAAGGAGAAAATACTGAATGCATCAGAGACCACATTCACAGCAGTTTTAGACCAAGGGGCTTGTGAATGTGATCTATACGTAAACTTTAAGATCCAGAACAATAATAAGCAGGTTTCTCTATGAAATTTTAGGTGCATTAAAAAATAGCATTACAAATATTTTACTACCTGCTTGAAATTCAGAACTAAAATTCAAATGTTACTCTCAAGACTCAAGAAACTTACTGATTTTTACACTTGGGTACATGAGAGAATCAGTGGGGAACCAGTTAATTCACAATTACAGCTCTGTGTATTAAAGACAAATTTGCAAGGGCCATGTCCTATAGACCTTTATCGGTTGCATCAAATACTGTCAGACCAATATCGATTTGCTGCTTCGTAGAGGCACTGAGCACTTCCCCCCACTGTGAAATATTTTTCAGACCATCAAACACCAAACTAGATGCAGTGAACCGAATTATAATCATCCAAACTGAAAGATAAGAATATTAGTTGATATACTGGTTCTTCAATGCTCTGTTGTTTCAAACGAAGTATCAAATATTTCATACAGTAGAACTGAAACTTGCTTGCAGTAATAGCTAAACACTTCTGAGAGGAAAAATAGCTGTTTTTCTGAGGGAAAAAAATGGTATAAACCAAATGAGTAATACAAACTGTTCATATAACCCCAAATTTGGCTACTCATAAAACAGATTATATTTTCAGTATTCTTTTAGCATATATGTACATAATACTTGAAATTACCAAATCCATTTTTGAGAAATCATACTCTAATTCCAATTCTATGATGGTATGGGGAAAGCCCAAAGCTCTGACTAATCAAGTTATACACATTATCATCTTTTTTCACTAATGGTGAAGTACCATGGAGAGCTTCAGAATGATGTATTTTCAAACATACTGTTATACATTACAATCCACGGTTTTGAGAAATGAAACACACTTTAAAAAGAAATATTAAATTATTGTTCTCTTCCTCATATCCTCACAAAGCAATTTTTTTCCTTTCCTTCTTAGGGTCAAACCTATGATCTGGGAAACTCAGCATTAAACGGGTCAAATGTGGCCATAACAATTTTGTGGAAGATAGAGCATGGTGATGATGGTTCTGAATTTCACCAGTTCGGGTCTATGGCTGTGAGATTTACCTGTGAGAAGGATCTGACATCAAATGGCACTTGGACAGTGCAACCTACATAAATCAGTACCACCCAAATCATGTCATTCATGGATTCTCCTTAAGAGCTCATCTGACCAACTTCAAAGACACAATTCCAACGATAGGGTTCTGCCTGATCTTGCCCCCCTTGAGTCCGTGCGCATCACTTCCAAATTCATTTAGTATATTCTCTCTGTTACAGGTCAGTTTACCTAAAAATATTTTTAGGTAAAAATTTTAGGTAAAAAAATAAAAAAACACAAGTTTTCATAGGTCTTATAATTTGGATCTAATTTTCAATAGGAAAACTGCCTGCTGAATCACAGAGGTGACAGAAACAGCATTCGTGTCCACTTTCAAATAATCTGCAGGTCAATGTGCACTGCACAACACTGAACCAAGACGGACTAATATACTCTCAGCCCTCCAGGCACAGACTGACATTCATGTGCCCCATGTTTTTCCCAAGGCCTGAGCAGATCTAAAAGTGGGTTTTCAGACAGGTAACATTTTAATAAGAGGTTCCCTCCAACTCCCACCATGCTTTTAGTTGATAACCATATCATCCCTTTACTAAATTCACCCTATCCTCCCCACCACCTTAAAAGCTGCATGAGAGACTCTTAGTGATAGTGAACCGCTACCCCAGACTCACAGGATTATCCATTTGAGCTCTGGTCAGGACCACAGACTAACACTCAGGAGTCAAGTGAGGGCAAGGGGCCAAAACCATTTTAGTGGCACACATACACAAAGGAACTCTCCTTTAAATTAGAAAAGAAAGTCATGTCACAGAATGTTTCCCTATAAAAGATATGTAATAAAGAAATAAAGTCAATAAAATAGCTATTACTAAAGCAAAGCTTTCATCAATAAGCTTCAAGAACTTTGAAGGAGGAAAATGGCTTCACGAAATGGTAGTCCAGGTTCCCACAGTGCGGACACTGCTGGACATTGCTGTACTCGGAGAAGTACTGCATCCCGATCCGCACGTCTATCACAGGCTTCCCACAGTGCTTACAGTTCAGGCGGGCCTGTGGAGGAAACACAGACGCGTCAGCCACCATGCCCTCCCTTCCACCTCACCACACTGTCAAAGTCACCCAAACCAAAATGCAACACTGTTATGTCTGAGAAACTGATCAAGAGCTTAGCCAAGCGTCCCTCTTATTACCAAAAGCAGGGTAGGCAGAGCAGAAGATACACATTCACATATTCATCATCCGTCCGACAGTGTGACTCCTCATTTATCTGTGGATCTGCAGCACCGTTAGCACTTTGACCTACTGGTAGGAAGAAAATTCAAACTCGCACTGCCTGAACTTCTCCTGAACTTCTCCATGGAAGCTCCCCTAACAATAGGACACTCCTTCCCCCTGGATCGTTAGGAGCAGCTGCAGCTGATTCCCCTCATTCAAAGCCTCATGAAACTTCGTGGACCGTGCTGAGTTTATTTTAAAAAATTCATATACATTTCTCATTCTGCTTCTTACTACACTTGTTTTCTTTGATGTAAAAATAAAGTTTCCCGAAAACACTCCAGCAAAATTAACAATCCAGGAAGAAGTGCTCTGTGTTACCACCGCACACTAGGCTCTTCATTCATGCCTGGGTCTCTAACGGCACAAGACTGGAATCTTTTAGCAAAAGGTCCAAGACCTTAGAGGAATAACCAGAAATGATAAGTACAACAGTTTCTCAATTTAGATTCATTCTAAAAATGTAACAAAAAGTATAATCTCATTTTGTCCTCAATACACTCATGGGAGGTATGTGCAGTATGTGAATTTTAGATGAACAGGCACATAGTGATAGTAACATGCCCAAGACCACATAGGAAGCAGAAAGGCTGAGGACTGGACCAAAGTAGCTTATTCCAGAGCCCACATTCTTAGCTATGACACGGACGACCTTTCTGTAGCTAAGATAAATTCCCTTTTCACTAACCGCTCTGAACAGCAAAACTGAAATTCTGGGCAAACCTCTCTCTTTAATCATTCTCTTTACTCTGTTATTCCTTTCAAATAATTAACCATTAAACTTCTTTTTGGCTCAAAGTCTTAGTAGAAGACGCTTAGTAGCGTCTAACACTTGCACCTTCCCAGTGAATACACAGTTGTCCTTGAACAACATGGGTTGAACTACGTGGGTCCACTTAGAAGCAGCTTTTTTTAAATAAATACAGTACAGGACTAAATTCTTTTCCTTATTATTTTCTTTATAATGGTTTCTTTCCTTTCCTTTATTGTAAGAATACAGTATACAATACATATACAAAATATGTGTTAATCAACTATTCATGTTATCAGTAAGGCTTCCAATCAATAGTAGGCTATTAGTAGTTAAGTGTTTGGGGAGTTAAAAGTTACAGGGGGTTTTCAACTGCACAGGGGGTCAGTGCCCCTAACCCCCATGTTGTTTAAGAGTGAACTGCAGTTAAATGACATTTTTTTTAAAAGCCAAAGAGTCATCAAATATGTTTTCCATTTTAGTTGGAGGCCAGAAAATAAAGGTCTGGGCTTACATTGTTTTAAAAGAAATATATCATGAGTACCAACAGGTTGGCCATGGCAGGATGCCATTCTGCTTTCCTCCCTAAAGATAAGGAACTAATCCCACTGCCTTTCAGTGGTATAGGAGAAAGAACAGCGGACAGGGAGTCAAGGGTTTTAGCACGGCTGTGGCACGTTTGTAAAGACCTAGGTAAAAAGACCTCCACTGTGTGTGGAAAACAAGGAAGCTGACCTAGCTCTCCCGGGTCCTTCCTAGCACCAATGAATGGCCCCAAATTCTTTTACTTCCTCATTCCTTTAAAAGAGAACCCTCTCTTGTGTGTGTCAAGAGGAGCCACTTCCTTCTGTTTCTCTCGGCATTGTGGCGCAGTTGAGTACTACAAAATGCTGCAGTGCGTCGCTCAAAGACTATGAGATCTCTGGTGACAAACGTAACAAAATAAAAAATAAATAAATAAATAAAAGACTATGACATTCTCATTTCCAAAGCTAATGGAATTTTAAAATGGAAATGTGGTCAATATATTAGAATAGCGTACAAGTAGTCAGCCCTATCTGGAATCACATGACCGGTCATGGGTGGCCATTTAGGTTTCCCATGCCCATACTTCTCTTTTGAGGACACTAGTACAAAGTCTGGCTGAAAGCCCCGCTCTGCCAACTTTTTCATTCAACTGGCACAGCTTCTCACAGGATATTCTTTTTTAAAAAATCAAACCATAGTGCTAAAGATATAAAGCTATAAAGTAACTAATAAACTGCTTATCAGTTACTTATATTAAAAGCTAGGCTTGGCAACTGAAGAGCAAAGTCAAATTCTCTCCTACCCGTGAATATGAAGGAATTGTAAAACAAGGCTTTCTTTTCCCCAAGCACTTGGAAATGAACCAAGATACTTCCAAGGATTTTGTTTTGTCTCTTGTGTTTCCACGGACTTATCTAACGTGTTTTCCCAGACTACTCCTTCCTTTTTTTCTGGTGACAGCTCAATTTCGGAAAATGCTTCCTCTGAGCAGTACTTTAAAGATTAAAAATCTTTTCTAAGGCAGCACAGGAAGGCAGTTCCTGTGTAACTGCGCTACCCCACAGAAAGGAAGAAGAAAATCCTGTCTATTCCAGAAAGTAAAACTTTCTTCTTCCTTTTCAATAATGACTTTTTCTTATTAGAACCTAAATATATGTTAATCACACAAAACATAAGAAAATGCAAGCAAAAGGAACCACTTCGCATCCCAGCATGCGGACACAGCCTCTGGCTTACAGGTTAGCAGGTCCCTTTCCAAAGTCACTTTTTACAAACAGAAGCACACTGTTAACACCATTTTATAAACTACCTTTTTTACTTGATACACTAAAAATATTTCCCATTGATTATACATTATTCCACAATACCCCCCCTTTTAATGACTGCAGAGTATTCGGGCAATACCTTTGTCACGCTGTGGTAAATCAGCCATCATTCCTGGCCGCGGGGGCGGGGGAGGGGGTAAGACCACTCGCCATCTTCCTCGCCCTCTCCCAAACTAACAACAGTGCTACCCTATCTCCTCAGCGTTCGCCAGGGGACAGCAGCCCGAGATCACGCACAGCTCGCCGTCAATACCAACCTGACAGCACGGAGAGGCAGCCAGGATGTCGTAGGTGTACATGGTGCCCAGCTGGTGCCAGCTGCCGTCCCACCGGGACTTACACTTGATGCAGATGATCTTGTGAACCCCTTCCAGGCAGTCCACGCACACGGCGTACAGGTGCATGAGCCTCCCTGTGCACAGAAGACACAATGCTGAGAACGGCCGTCCTCGGGGCTAAAAAAGTGGCTGATCTATCGATTATAAGCAAACATGTTACCATTCAGACAAAAAAAGAAGCAAAACGGGTCATATTCATCCCATATCCCCAAGTTGTCCTTTTAGAATAATGATGAATTATGAACTACTATCAATGGGACATATACTTAAAAGCTGTATCTTATTAAATATTGCTTCAATTCACTTTTCTAAAAAAGTACTGCCAGGTTTACAACATGGACCTCCAAATTCAAATGACCAAGCCACAAATGCTACCAACCGCCAGTGGTCACGCAGGACTCTCTGCTCAGAAGTCTGTGTGTGGCGCAGGGCCTGAACCAACAATGTTGGTCTGCAGCCTCGGGCTCGCATCCACCGACAACTGCCATCATAAGAAAGTCAAGTCTGTCTTGGTACTGGTGGCCCAGAATTATACCACAGCCACAACTACCGTGCTAAACTGTCCCTGTCTCCAAAACTGCTCAGCCATCACCATTATTTAATTTAGGAACCAGGATCATATATATCTTACTTGTAAGTGGTTATTTAAAAGGAGTTCAATGTCTTATTATTTACTGGGCTCTTAAGAGACACAACCCCATTCCTCCATCATTCTTAACATCTAATGCTTACAAAGGAAAAGAGGTCACCCTTGTTTACATGGAAGGGTTAGGATTCAAATCATTAGGAAAGACTGGGCATGTCCAGGATCCACCTACACGGTGTACAACAGCAACACCACTGCTCTCTACGTAGGCGTCAGGGAGCTCCACCTGGCTGCAAACTACATGCTCAGGAGAACACATACTCCTTCAGAATGCGCTGGCTCCTTGCCAGCAGCCCAACCATGGCTCTTCACCTTTCACTGGTTAGGACAGGCTGCTCCTTACCCTCTGGAAAGAGGTAAACAGTACTTACAGGGTAATGTTTCATTACATTTGCTTACAAGGCTCTCTCGTACTCCTCAAGGGTAGGAACCATGTTCTCTCTCTCTCTCTCTCTCTTTCTCTCTCTCTCTCACACACACACACACTCTCTCAGGCCTATCTAATTTTCGCCTTTCTCCATCCACTGGCTGAGAGGTAGGTACCCTTCAGACGTGGTCCTGGGCTCTCTCACATACTCTTCCTTTTCTTTCTCTTCTCTCCCTATTCAGGAGCTCTTCCAATCTTAAGATCTGAACCACCCCTGTTATAAAATAAGCTCCCCAGTTCTCATCCCAGATGCTTATTTCTAATAGTGCTTGCTAGATAGACATCTCCACCCAAAGTCCCAACACCCCTTCAAACCCAACACACACACCAATGCCCTCATCTTCTTTCCCCTAAGACAGGTCTCCTTCCCAACGCTCTCCACTCCTGTCCATGGCAGCATCCTTTATCTGCTCTAGAGCCAAAGTGAGCCAACCAGGACGCAGCTTCATCCTTGTAGGTTCAGTGTCTAGCACAATGTCCATAATGGAAAAAGCACTTCACAATTATATGTTGGATAAATGGATGGGGTATATTAATAGCCAAAAACATTATAATCTTGGAGGCCTCTAGGGCCAAAAAAAAAGGAAAGGGTGACAAGAGCTTCTTCTTTTTTTTTTTTTTTTTAAGATTTTATTTACTTGAGAGAAACTGAGAGAGCACAAGTAGAGGAAGCAGCAGACTCCTCACTGAGCAGGAAGCCCCATGCGGGGCTCCATCCCAGGACCCTGCGATCATGACCTGAGCCGAAGGCAGACACTTAACCGACTAAGCCACCCAGATACCCCAAGAGCTTCTTGTAATAGTGCCCATCTCTGCTCTAAAAAGCTGAAAATAAAAAGGTCTCATGTGGCCTGACAGCATCTCATGGTATCAGTTCAAGTATCCAGGAATCACTAGAAAACATCATTTCCAGTCTCCCTCCTAGATTTATCAGGGGTGATTCTCAAACATTCGAAGATATCCCGTGGGCTGCCCAGAAGGGTGGGGGGAGGGACAGACGCAGAGGGGAGGCGGTGGCAGCAATAACCATGCCGCCGGAGCCTTCAGGGCACTTTCACCGAGGGCCCAGCACGAGCCAGGCTGTGCTCTGAGGAGGCCCCAGGCGTGACTGCACGTAAACCCTCTCGGCAACACGATGAAGCAGGCAGTACTGCCTTTCCCGCCTGCCGCTGGAGGAATTGAAGTTTGGTGCGCTGGCGCAGCCTGCCCAAGCTCACGAAGATCGTAAGTAGCCAAGACCAGGCTTAAATTCATGTCTGTGTGATTCTCAACCTCCGGGAAAACTCCTGGGAACTCCCGGCCTAGAGTCTCTAGATTTGTTTCAGTTACAATTATCCTTGTCCTAAACACAGAGAATTCTACACTGCTAAACTGGAGGGTCGTGAGTTCAAACAAAAAGGAGATGCCCAAAAGAACAGTCAGTCACCTGTGGTTCTCAGTGGTAAAGCAGCATGATAAAGAACTTCCTAATTAGATCAATATTAATAAATTATTAACACCAAACAAAAGCATCTTCTCAAAGGAAGAGTCAGAGAACAGAGGCTGGAGTTGGAGGCCGCAGGGGGCAGTGATGGGGAAAGGGCAAGCATGGCAGTGACAATCCACACAGGCCAGCCCTGGAAATTACAGGTGGTTTCGGCAGCGTATCATCAACTGCAGCAGGGATTCTTATGGCCTGGAACAGGACCTTGCTATTGTCGTTGAAAATGCTTTTTAATAGGGCGCCTGGGTGGCTCAGTTGGTTAAGCGACTGCCTTCGGCTCAGGTCATGATCCTGGAGTCCCGGGATCGAGTCCCGCATCGGGCTCC